GTATGCAACATCTAAACATACCATACATTGCTTGTATTGTCTGAATATCGCGTGGAGTGAAGTATTGACCTTCAACGAGTATCGGATACATCACACTGTTTTCATCGTTTAGCACATGAGGTAAGCCAAGCGAATGGCCGACTTCGTGAATTGCAGTGGCCAGCAAAAGAGGTGCTGTATAAACGATGTTAGACATAGTGTGTTGGCAACAGAGTAAACTATAGATAGCGGCACAGCAAATGCAGTTCTTTTAAAGATAGAATTTTTTAAATTATAGAATAATCTTGACACATTGTCTGCAAAATATTCATTTAGTCTGCCTGACAAAAAAACTTTACATCGTCTTTAGTATTTTGATGTTAAGGCCTTCCTCGTCTTTCTTTGCCTGTTGAATGTGTATGGTAAAAAAAAACCAGTGAGTAATACCAGCCACTATGATACAACCAAGATCTGATTTTTTTTTCTTAAAGCAGATGGTCCATAGGAAGCTTAATTGCAGTCAACAATTCAATTTCTTCTGAAAGACTAAAATTGGCTATGATCTGAAAGAGAAAGACTATTTGTCTTCTCCGTATACGTCATGCAAAAAAAGCGGTTCACTCCCAGTCAATGTTTCTTCTTATTATTCACCTTTTCAGGGAGTAAATTTTTAAAAGACAATTCGTATGAACACTTCTCTTTCCTTTATTAGATAGCTTAAGCCGGCGCTGCACATAAAGTATATGACTAGGCGCTCTTTATGCGATTTTTCTACCAATTTTCGTGTATCAGAAACTTACAGCTCCACGGTACATCATCATTGAAGTGAATATCGCCGATGACATTCGATGGGTCGTCCTTTGGTTCAAAGGACGTACTTCTCGGACGAAATGCGTGTGCCAGCACAGATGGGTTGAATGGATACTCGCATTGATGAGATCCCACCTGTAACAAACATTAAAAAGGTGCGCTTTCTGATGTTAGATTCATCATTTCCGTGACAAATATGAAACATCTTGTGGTGAGAAAAAGTAAATCGGTTTTGCCAGAGGAGTTTGTTTCTATAACTATAGCTCTCACAACCAATTTGGTGCAACTGCCTTTTAAGATAGAAAGGTCCCACTCAGCCTCATTCATAGACCGTTTCCCCGTCTAATTTTCCAGGCTTCAATGTGTTCTTTTATTCGATCCCTCTAAGTAGTCCTTTTCCTTAAACAAGACAGGATTTTCAAAAACTAGTAACTGTGGCTGTGGTGTCGCATAAGTGGGACTGAGGAGATTCCAACACAAGCCGAAAAGGTATTTGAAACTTCTGTTTTTACTAACACTATGCAATACCAACTTCATACTTATGCTTTTCACACATTAGTGAGGAGAGGAAGTTAAAGCCGTCGCCAAAAGATTGTCTACAACCTGCTTTCTGAAACCTTTGAGAGAAGATTTCCTGTAATTGCATCACAGCATTTTTACTATAGAACATAGTCTTGCACACTGCACCTCATAAAAAAGTGAATAGCAAAACGCTTAAGACTCTTTTCAATTTCGCAAAATAACTATATCAATTTATAAAGAGCAGTTCTATGTAGTTTTCTGATAAAGACATAACATCAGAATGCAACGAGTCTACTGTATGATACAGTAGTTACGATAGTCCTACTGGGATGTCAAGTCATCGCTATGGATATTCCTAAAACCCATCAACATCGAATTAATTTTTGACAATATCC